GAGTCAGTCTATGTGAGTCAGTCCGTTCATCAGACTTCCGTTGCATATATGCTCATCCTACATTGGTTGATCCTTGGTTCTGCCCATACTCATTGGAGTATGTAACATACAGTGACCATACGTTGTACTCAAGACATGCTTATGCTCCTTTCAGGCAACTAACTTGTATACATATTCGAGAAAGAAACGGCTATGGCAAAATTGGTTTACGCACCAGACTTGGGATGTGGCGCTTCGCACCTTGTGGATTCGAGTCCTTCTAGTGTGCTGAATTACGGATAATGAATTCAGTATTGAAAACGATTATCGAGGAAGCTCAAATTCAATTTTTGTGGATTTTTATTTGTTTTGTTTTCACTTTATTGACTCATATATTGTTTCTCAGAAGAATTTGTTTTTTTTATTAGCTAAACCTTTTCTTGTTCTTCGTATAGAAAAACCATCATTTATCTGCACACAAATGGCGTCTGCGCTCCTGTCCTTATCTGAAGACGATATCGAAGAGATCTTGTGGCACCGACCACTACGTGGGCACCTAATACTGGCAGTGGTTAAGGTAGCCAATCAAAGGTTACAAAAACACCAGATACAAAAACCAGCCATGCTAATGATAACGGCAAGCAGACTTTCCAGCCGTCTCATTAATTGATCATAAGGATATTGTGGAAATGCGGCACGAAGTTCACAAACTCAAATATATAAAAACAGAAAGCCTTCCGCCTTTATACTGAACCAAATCGAGTGACTGTGAGGATGAGCGATTCCACATTTGGCCTTACAGTGGTGAGGAAGGGTGACACCTTTCTGTGCGAGTCACGCTTCTCATCACAATGAGCAAATACTCGTGCAAAAGACAGAAAAATCAGGTGGACAGCTAACCGACCTCCAAAATAAACAGACCCAGAAAAAACAGGGGAAAATTTGGGACTGTGAGCTGTGAATTTAAACGACAAAAACCATTGCACTCCTTCATCACTTTTTTTTACTGTTTCTGGGCTTGTTGTCGGGAGTTGTGGTGGTACCTCAAGACACAATATTGATCTCATTGCATCAGGTGAAAGGGTTTCACCCAGTTTGTGCAACAATTGCAGATACCGGGGCTTGATCCCCAGACTTTCCCCAACCCAGTGTACAGCACGTTTGTGTTGGTGGTTGACCCCGTGTGCCTTGAACCCACGACCTGTCCCCAAACCCGTGTATAAATTTCTTTTGTGTGAAGCCCAGGTCGTGTGGATTTGATCCGTAGCCCGTAGGTCTATTGTTTAGAAGTCTTAGGGTTGTCTGTAGGTGTCCTGAAAAGGCAAGTTTACAGTTGGCCTTTCGAAAGGTCAACTGGCCATACGTCCTCTAAAATGTCAGTAGGTCGTGGCTAGGTTAGGTCTCAAAGAGTAAACTTGACCTCTTGAAGTCAGTAGAGGCAGCCCGTCAATCTCTGAAAGGTCAAAAGTCCCAAGTCAACCCCAAAGGGGCACATGAAAAGGCAGTCCCAATACAGTCCGTTTTGCAGCAAGTACCAGAGTGGGACTGCACATCTTGAGGGCCTGGGACATCGGGCAGGCCCATACCACCAAACAAAACAGTATAAATATATAGGCAGCGATCAGTCATTCACTCATTCTGAGACAAACTACGCGGAAACACTGCTCAAGTGTCTTGTGCGTGGAGTGACAGGTGGTCAGCAGGA